TATTTAGTTTTAATGTTTCATTCATAACAATTTTGGTAAGCCCAGCAACCTCACAAGAGAAGAACCACCACAAGCTGATCCATTTTCTTAAAGACTGAAAGAGTTTGAATGAATAAGCCAGAAGAAAATAGATGCTTGATTTCTGTTTTTCTTTGATACCAGGTTGACTTGGAAAAATAAGGGAGAAGAAAAAATGATTTAATTTGTTGGTGATAGTGTTTGAATGTATAGTCATGTAGGCATTTGTGGTAACTTATGTCCTTGAAGATGCTTCTTTTTTTTTTTTTTTTCTGTAAAACACAGAAAAGAAAACAAATTTTTTGAGTACTGTTTTGGAATTTTTGATTGAACTGTCTCAATTTCATTATGCTTTTGGTCTCTTTTTTTCCTTTTATCATGCACTTTTATAGTTCTCTTTATTTTGTGTTTACATTTTCTTTGCTCTTCAATTTTTCTGTTACCACCTTTCCTTAATATAATAAGCTAAGACTTCCTGTCAGAGAAATGAGTAGTAACTGAGCAAACTCAAATACTGGTCATTGCTGTTTTTTCCCATTTTACTATGGAATTCCAACACATTTTAATCCTACTAGTAGGGATAAAATTAGAAATTTCAGTATAATAGATGATGGCATGTTTACTCACTCTGTATATTACATTGTTAGCAAGATGTAAATACATGAAACTATACTTGATCTTCTATTGTTGGGTTCATGGTAGTATGATAGCCATACGTGTGTGATGGAGGATTAAATTACATGCTCAAAAGTTTTGGTCAAAAAATACGCGGAAGGTAAATGGGCATTGGAAAGAATGGGCTTGTTAACATCAACTTTAGTTTGTGCTTTGACGTGATCAGTAGGTGCTAAAATCATGCTCCAATTTCCTTCTTTGACTTTTCTAAATCTATATTTATGCCAGTCTGTACGTTATGCTTGAATACTGTGTCTTAATGTAATGCATTTTAATTTTTAAACAAAACATTTGGAGAAAACGAAGTTAAAATCTTTATTAATATTCCTGATAAGATGGAATTAATTTTTACCTCAAGATGAGTCACAACCCAGTAACTCTGGTGTTTCAGATAGACTGGAACGAGGCTAGTATCTGCTTTGAGTTGGGGTTTTTTTGGTAGTGTTTCACTAGTTGCAGCTTGTGCTTTTTGAAAGAAGGGGGAATAGCCTGACAGGGTGTGGCTTATGGTCTTGATCCAACACCATGATCTGATGTTGCCTGGCCAGTGAGGAGATAAATAGGCTTATTTGTTCTACCCTGTAAGTATCTTATTTCTAAAATATCTTCAGTGAATTTCAGCATGCGTGGACAGTTTTCAGCTCCCAGCATGAACAGCTGCCTTGAACATGTCAGTGTGCATGTGAAACCCGTAAAGCACACAGGTGCATTCAAGCAGCTTCATCTGGGTTGACTCTTTCTCATGGAGTGCTTCTTATTGAAGGCATGGTTGCCTCATAGCATCCAGTTCTTACCTGTGCTGAGTGACAAAAAAGTGTCACCACGTCAGCATTAGATGCTTTAATTTGTTACAAGTAAGTTGAGGAAGACATAGTCATATGTCTCTATTTTGCCTTATCCAGGCTCAGGCTAAATAAAAAAAAACCAAATGCTGGTCAGATAGGTATTCACCACATTCTTTTTTTGCTGTTGCTACTGTGTGACCTACTGCTCAGCCCTGGTGTGGGCTAGGCTAGTATTTAATCTGGAAACATCTAGAAACTGCAGTCCAGGTTGCTGTTGGGTATCTTAGTACTTCACATGTGGAATGCTACAGATTAAACAAGGGTAGAGTGAAGATAAGAATATGGCAGAAGATCAGAAAAGGGACTGAAGCATTTACAAGATGGTTGGTACTATAGCATTTTTTGTTAGTTTTCCAGTTAGAGGTCCTCTCTGCATCATTTCTGTCTGAGCAATTATCCCATCCTTTCCTTCAAAGCATGTGGTGAGCTGGCATCTGCTTTTCATTTATAAAGATACTGGTATAAATTGATTCTAGATAGTTGGGCATTACTTTATTTCATTTACCATCTTAAAAAAAAAAAAAAAAAAATCCCATATTGGTCAATCATTCCTGGGAGAGCCTTACCAGGAGAAAAGTAAACATCTGTTTGAATAACCCAGTTGAGGGTTTAATCTTTTTTAAGTCTGAATACTTTGTAATTGTGTAAATTCTACTGATTCAAGTCCTCCCTAATTCTGATGAAAGCATTTTTAAAATGATTTTTTAACAGTTCAGGAACATGATCAGTTATGTCATATCTTTTTTGCAATTGTTTATTAAACACTGGGTGACAGTTGCATTACAGCTGGTCCCCTCACCTAATCGCGATGACAAGACTTACTGAATAGCAGGGGACATGCATGATGGTAGTCTTGGTGAGCCAGGATGTCATTCTCAGTCCTCCGTTCCATGAGGCTAAATTTCCTTTCTGCTGAGATCATCCATCAGTCTTACAAAATAAATAGCTTGTGTTTTTACAGCAGTGTGGCTGTCTTAATGTATTTATCCTCCAAAGATAAATGCAGAGTTTTGCAGTGTGCAAACATGACTTGCTCCAATCCAAGGCTTCTGATAGATTTAATCTTTTAATTAATCCTTTAATTATGCCAGTGAACTCATGCAAGCTTGCTTTTTAGCGCTTGGATGTATGTAGGAGTTTACTGAGAGGATGAGGTGACTTATAACAATGAATCATTTATAGGAATCATTATCCTCTGGGATTGTCCCTGATCAAAATAATAATAGTAATTAAATAACATGCTGTTTCTCATCCTCACATAAAAGAGCTCTTGTCCGATGGTATTTCTCGCTTATTTGTTTGTATGTAGCCAAAGTTACAAGTCTCAAGTTTACTGATTCATGCTGTGTCTGATTTACTTTCTTTACATAATCTGTTCTTCTACCTGCAACATGGGTTGGATTTTTGTGAACTAATATTAATACTAATATATTAGTATTTTAAAATACTAGTAATCCATTCTGTAATGCTAGGAATGGGATAGGTAAAGATGATTTCTCTTAGTTGTTATGAATTCTCAGCTCCTCCTGGCTTGTTTTTCTAAGGGCTTTTCACTGTAGACTTCCAGAAATGACTCTCTGAGCCACTAATACAAGAAGCACCATAGAGAAACTATTTCTGTAGACCACAACTATCCTCTCTGTTTCACACTGGATGTATTAGCCATGTATTTTGCATTAGTCCATAATGCAGAGTTAACGGTAAAATGAGTAGTCACGTCACCAGTTTAGAAAGCTCAGAAATTCGTGTGTTGGGCTTTTAAAGACTCTATCTTCAGTGATGATTTCTTTGTGCACTGCTTCCATTGAGATTAAATGGAGCAACATGCTTGAAAACAACAAAAAAAATTCTGTTATCAAGCTATATTTATTTTATATGTGATACTTTGACATTAGCATCGACATTGAAAGATGAAAGTATATGCATATTGCTTGTATATATTTGAGTCTTCAAGGTCTCGTGGTCCTAACAAAATTTATACTTATGTTTAGGGTCAAGCATGGACCTGAGTGCTCTGCTAGACTGGGTTGTTAAAGAGGAAGGACAGAAACATCCCGGATGTAATTTAACTGAAGTCACTTGAATTTGCCTGCATATTCTCTTCCTTCAAGCTAAATCAGAAATAGTCATGTTCAAATGATGTGTGCATGCCTTTCACCTTTCACCTTTGGACAGTATTAGAAATATTTATTTATGGAAGTGGAAGCAGCTCTGTTGAAGCAAATGACTTGCAGTTGCTTTGGCTTATCTCTAGAAAGAATTTGCTTTATAAATAATAATCTTGAATTATTGGAAAAGTGCTATGGAATCTGAAGGCTAGCAAAACTGAAAAGAGCAGGGAGTTTTGTTTTTCTTTGTTTTTAATTTGCTAAGGCTTCCAGTGCTATACTTTTGCAGCCACTCTAAGATTTGCTACAGGGAGAATTATGCTCTAACTTGATGTCTCATACAGAAGGAAAACCTTTGACTTTCTTTTGTCTTCAGACTCAAGCTTAGTATGTGTTTGTTGTACAGCAATAAGCCAAATCACTTTTGTTTACACTCAAAAAAGAACACTTTTTCCTTATTGATCATAGTAGGAAATATTGAAAGTGAATAAACAGAAGGTGTTAGATGAAAGACCTCAGTGGTATAGAAAACTTCATATGAAAATACTCAATTTTTTTGTAGATATATTTTTTAAGGTATTTAATGGTTTGTCATTTGTCTTTTATCTTTTTGGTTGGAAATAATGAATGGAGCAACCAGCCCTGCCCCTGGTCTGGTTTAGCACTGTTAAGTACATTTGTCCTTGACCCATTAGATACTGTTATGTCCTGAGCTGAAGGCAAAGTGAAGAAGATCCCAAGTAAGAGTTTATCTCATTGGAGTATGAGGTGATTTTACAAACCGATGTTTGCTGTTAACAATTATTGCCATAAAATTAATGAAAAGTGTTGAGTGCTGTGAATGTTTAGACCATTTTTAAACAGCTAATTTGGGGAGATATGTAAGAAGTGTTGTAACGTAAAAGTGGTCACTTACATGAATAAACAGTGACTGAATTACCAATAATTTTCTGAGATACTCTGTCACTGAGATTTTAATGGTATCTGGACTGCTCTTAAAATCAATTATTTTGTAATTACACGAGATTTTAATTACTTTGAAGCTATTTTTCCAAATATATTGTAGGAAATATATTGTTTAACTGTCCTGGTTCATAGGGCATAAGATTTGCAAATGTCTATTTAAAATGTGTTTCATTGATTTGTGATTTATCTCACTTAAAATACTTTGAATCACTTGTGTTTCACATTAAGCAATCATGGCATTTCATGCACAGTGGACAAACACTGTGTACACTTCCTTGAAAATGCGTTGCAATATTTTTATGTTGTAATTCTTGGGTTTCTCAATGTATGACTTATTTTTTGGTTTTGCATTAATGTATTAAGTTGGCAAAATCCCTTTTTGTTCCAGTGCTTGACTGCTGAGGAAATTTTTTCTTTGCATGGGATACCGAACAACAGTCACGTATCAAATTCAAGCTTCTCTACAATATGTCCTGCTGTTTTGCAACAGCTAATTTTTCACCCGTGCGATCATCAGGAAAATTTTGTGGATACGTCTAAACCACGTTCTTTACAAGGTTAGTTATAATTAATTGCATTAATACTGCGACTGGAGTGGGGTTTTCTTAGGAGAATAGTAAGCATTTATCTATACATAACAGGAGTGTCTTGTTTAGGAGGATATAGTTGTAACATGGGCACATAAAATGAAAATGCTATTTCGGGTCAGCGGACTATTTAAACAAATATCCTATCTCTTAATAGTGATCTATTCAAAGTGTTTTAGAGAAAAGTGAAAGAACCGACTAGGTAGTTATGGAATAATTTGCCCATTAAAGGAAGAGTCTTTCTGACCTGTTTTATTTGGATAATGGTTTGTGCCCTGAAGCATAGGGTCTCTTGCTAATAGCTGGTTAATGGGAGAGAAGATGGGAGTACAGAAAGGAAGTTTGTGCAGGTGATTTGCAGTGGGAAATCAGACTTAGTGGGATGTGCATGTATCAACGCAACTCAAGGTAAAATTATTAGGGGACTGCATTTTAGTGGAATTATTTGCAGGTGGGAGTCATGACATCAGGGGAGCAAGAGACTGTTTTACTGAGGAAAAATACTCATATTCTTTCAAAATGCCAACTCCTGCTTTCATGTCATCTTCTGTGCTGCCCTCTCCACATGGAACATCATCACATGGCTGGGTAGCCTTAATCTTCCTTTCTCCGATTTTTCTCACTATTATTTCTGTATTTATTGTGAACAGAACTGTACAGTGCAGTAACAAATGTAGGACAGGAAAGATCCAGCTGGTTAATGAAGTCACTTGTTGCACTGATAAGGATCAAATACGTAATGGCCTGCTTATTTGACTCAGTATTCCAGATAAATTTATTGTTCTAAGAGGGTCAGCTGAATTAAAGTTAAAAGTTAAGATGTTGAATGAGCAGGTGCCTAATGGTAGTTATTTATGAGCAGAGATACGGCAGTGTTTTGCATAACTTTTGAAATATTAGTATTAATAACATTCTGACTAATATAAGTGATTATATTTATTAAGAATTATAGATCATTCCTAAAACTTAGCTGTGTTAGTGAATAGTTAGAATTATATTTGATTAATCACTGAAACCATGGCATCAATTTACCGTGGTGGTTCTAGATTGCTTATACCATGTGAGGGCACATATTGTCAAAGAAGTCCATAATATCTGCACCAGAGGATAGGATCTGTCTTTTTGTTTGGGGCTGTTTAAGTAGGTTGTACGTGGAAAGCTTGACCTATAGTTAACCTCCTAAGCTATTTAGACCATCCCTCTTACTTTTCTTTTATCCTGCCAGCTCAGAAGCAATGTCTGGTAGTCATATAAGCAAGGAAGCCTTCTCTCTGCCCCTCCCTTGGCTGCAGCGCAAGAAATCTGCAAGGTCCGTGGTTAGGGTATTTTAAAATCACAAGTGTATGAGGCTGTGACATATAGTGATATCTATTTTGAAGGGAGATTCACAGAAAGGCCCAGTGCCCAATGCAGATGTTGATTTATGCACACCCCCACCCCATCACAAAATGAATCTGTATTGTGGCAGCATTGAGACCAGCTGATTTCAGTGACTGCCCATGAAGCAAAATCCTCTATGCATGTTTCCAGCTGCGCTTATGTGAATTTTCTGCCCAGGGACTCCCACACACCTAGCAATATTCTGTCTTCCAAAATACGAACAGACAAGACATACAGAAGAAATTAGTGCAATAAGCTTTATGGGACAGCTACCTGCAATAAAAAAAAGCGGTGCTGAAGTAGAGTAAAAGTTAAAAGGCAGCATATAGCATGTCCTTTTTCCTTGGGGTTTGTATATCTCATATCTAACCTAACTGACCTTAGGGGCACACTCATGTCTTTCCCTTTCTTGCTTCTCTGAAAGGTAGCAGGGAGGTGTATAGAGCTGCATGAAATAGCTGGAAGTGCCCAGTGGCATTCCTTCTGTACAAGGCGAACAGGTTCTGTGCTCTCTGCTTGGCTTCTTCAGAAAGGTGTTCATACCCTTATTTCCTCCTCATCCCAGGATGGGGCTAAGGAAGAGCCTGAGCTTGCCTCAGGAAGGCCCAGAGCAGTCATCCCCACTTCTTGTAAGGAGCAATGCTGAGCAACGATGTTCTAAGGAGGGCATCTTACTTGCATTTTTTTTGGATTTCTTGTGGCTTTGGATATCTTGGCTGTCTCTTTGCTGGGGCCACAGTTCTAGAGACAGAAAGAATACTAGTAGTTGGCAAAAGCTGACTGTGCCACCAGTCTCGGGGAAGAAAGTGTGCGTCCTAAGCAGAATGCTCTGCTCTGGTACGTGAGGTCAGACTAGCCTGCTTTCTGAGATGCAGGGACTCATGAAAACCTCAGTGTGGGTGGAATCCTAGTGAATAAACCAATTTTAAGACAGCAGCGCACACATGATTATGAAATACAGTCCATAATGCACGAACTTTGGCAACATTGGTTGTCTTGGAATTTTATCACCTTCTCCCCCCCCCCCCCCCCCCCCCATTTGCCCCCCCCCCCCCCCCTGCCAATTTGTGGTATTTTTCTTGAAGTACCAGTTCCTGTAATGGTGTAATTATGGGGTAATCTTTTTTTTTTCCCCCTCTCCGATTACACTTCAGGTCTTTCTGAACTCAAAGAAAAGCTTGCCACAAGGCCCAGGAGCACCTTCCTGGAAAATGTGTAAGAAAGATCCTGGATTTATTTTATTCCTTTAAAAATTTCATTACTTTAAATCAGTCCCCATGCTACTGAGGCTCATTGCAGGACCTGTGGAATGCCTAGGATGGATAATACTTAATTTATTCTTTCATTGTCTGAGGTTATTTAATCACTTATTTTAACTCTTCCTTATTCTTCCACTTCGGGTGAGTAAATCAGAAACAAAGTATCAGTATGTAAGATTGCAAGTTCTTTGGGCCATCCAGGTGTAGGACAGAATTTTAAAAGTAAAACCACATCTATCTTCTGGCATCCCTAATCTCTGGTAAATCAGGAAGAAGAAGGTCTTTTCCTTTTACATTTTCTTTGTGACAAAAGGGGATACTACATACCAGTGGATTAGAATATGTCCCTACTTGTGAACGCAGGTCCTTTAGTACATTATGAGACATCTCCCATTGCATTAAGCATACAAAATGGTGTCAGTTGTATCGCTTATAACATGTACTTCGAGTGTCCCAGTCTGTTTTGCTGTTCTGAACAAAGAGTACTAGTATGAAAGTTAGAGCATTTGTTACTGAAGCATATAGTATCGTGAGAACTTCTCTCACAATTTGGCAATCACCTCTTTTTCTGTGCTTGGTTTTAAGCTCCATTCTCCTATCATTTTTGTCATCCACTGACCTACACGCAAAATTTGTAAATTTATCTTGTCTTTTGTTCTAAAAAGTAATTAGTACTGGCTTTTTAAATTGTAATTTTTGAAACTTGTTCTGATTTCCTGTGTCTGATAAAGTAGCTTGGGCAAGTACACTAAATGCTTCCTATCTGATAAATGGGGTTTTTGTTTTGTTAACTCCATTTAAAATGTATGTTTTACACAGAATAATGTGTAGGAGTTGTCCGTATACTAAACTGAAAGAGACTTGTGCTTCTATAGTAATCCCAAACTGTAAACAGTGGTTTGTGACTTATGATGGCATTGGAAGCCCATTTGTTTATTATAGATTTGATTTCAAAAAGGTATTTACAAGCTTAATTGTCATTTATTTTAATCAAGATTAATCTCCTGTGTAGCTTAGTGAATCTAGCCATATTAGTTCTGTTTTTTTCTTGCTCTGTCTCTCTCTCAAAAATGGCAACTGAATGTTCTAATTGGCATTGATTTACCTTCTGCAAATGCTTTAAATAAATAAAAAAAGCTTTCTAATGCTTTCTCTTCTTGACATAATATAAAATTCATTACATATAAAAATTGTGACGCTGTGCAAACAGAGTAGAACCATCCAAGTTGCAGGTGAGGAATCCGGCTTAGTGTGTTTGCCGATTGGTTTGCAGTAAAGTTAGGCTGCAGATCATAATCTGATCTGTTAGTTTCTGCTATGCAGAAAGGAATTTATGGTAACTTCTCTGCACACATACTGTAAAGCTTATAATGATGCAATTTTCTGGATTATACCAAACTGTTCTCATATAGACAACATTGTGTTGGCTTTGTTTATTACTGGAGGTTAATTTTTATAGACAAACCTGCTGTCTATGTGGGTAACTGTGGTTCTGTGGCATCGCTTGAGGCAGCATTGTAGACCTCTTCAGTGCAACCTTTAAAGCTTTTCTGTGTACTCACAGGGACTGGAGATGTCATTGGGGAAAAACAGTAGTCATGCATAGAGGCACAACTTTGTGATGCTTAGGAACAACAACAGCAACCACCCCCACCCCAAACCTATTGTTCAGACTCCAGAATAATTATGGTATGGCTTTGTGCAGGTCCTGGTGTCTGAACTCTAAAAATCTGAGACTATGCTTATGGTGGAGGAAGCTAAGTTATGGTGAACCCTGGTGCATTTGCCACTTCTTAGGGAAGATTTTCCCCATTGTGCACCTAAATCACGCGTCCATCTTTTTGAACCTAGAACCTCTTTTTTTTTTCTCTGTTGTAATTGTCTCTACTATCAGCTATCTGCCACCTCCCCTGTTTGATAAGCAGTGATGGAGAGCATTTTCAGCCAGCAGAACTACTTCGAATTAGAGGAGGAGGAGGAGGAGGAGGAATGTTAGGAACAGAAAGTTACCACCTTGGGATGATTTGAAAGAGTCATCCTTTATCAGGAAGGATTTTTGGATCTAGTACAGCAAAGACAGCAGACTTTCTATCTTGGAGTTGCTTAGGAGTAAATGACAATTGGATCTAACCCTGGGACTAGTAAGAAGTTTTGTCTTCTGTCTATGCTATAGCTACTTTGACTGTTGGCCTAAGCCTTAATTTTGACTCTTCACTGGCTGTAGACAGACCTGATTTATACTAGCAGCAGATAGGCTATCCCAGATCTTATACTAGCACAGTTTCCATTTTTAATATGGTAGTCCCAGACAATGTTTCCAGATACTTCCTTTCTGCAGGTATGGATCTTAAATATGCGTTTTAAGATTTTTATATTTGTGAAGTATAATTTCAGCCAGGGAACCACTCGTTTTCCCAATTCCATGCCAATTTAGCTCTTAGAAAAATCGTAAACAGTCTGAAGTGGGTGTTATACTAAAATATTTTATATTTCTGCTTGTTTATCCACAGTTTGGGGATTTGGGTTCCTGGCTGTGACTATCATTAACTTGGCATCACTTCTGGGATTGATTTTAACTCCCCTCTTAAAGAAGTCGTATTTTCCCAAGGTTTTAACCTACTTTGTGGGCTTGGCCATTGGTACTCTCTTTTCTAATGCAATTTTCCAGCTCATTCCAGAGGTAAGCAAGGGGAATCATTATTTGGTTTGCATACTAGTTTCTAAAGTGTATTAATTTTAGAATCATGCTGCAGTGGGGTTCTGTGTGTGGGTTGCAATCTCCAGAGTTGTGGGTGGGCTTCAGTGCCATTAGCTACCATCTCTTTCTGGTTGGGTGAGCAGAGCCGTCAAGATCTATGTCGGGTTGTGCCATGGGAAAGACCAAGGGCTATTCTGCCTCTAGACAGAAAGAGAAATGCATTGGCTAAAATTCTAGTGCACTTTAATGGGCTACAGGTTAGACCCTCCTTGTCTTGCACTTTAATACTACATTCCGCATGTAAAGTTCTACTGAATTAAAACACTGTTAACATTTAATCCAAGTTAAAAAAGTCTAAAAAGATCGGGATCTTTCATAATTTCAGCCTCATGGAAACTCAAGCTCGGTAGAGAGACAGTCTGTATTTTAGAGGAGTATTTGTGTGAGGAGGGCATTTGTTTGTTTGTTTGTTTTTCTGGAAATGTGCTAAGATTACAGGCTAATTTGCATTGCTTTTTTTTTTCACTGTTAGGCATTTGGGTTTGACCCCAAAGTAGATAACTATATTGAGAAAGCCGTTGCTGTGTTTGGTGGATTCTATATTCTCTTCTTTGTGGAAAGGATTCTTAAAGTGATATTGAAGATCTATAACCAGGTAAAAAACCATATCACTAACTGAATGAGCCCTGCCTTAAAGTACCTGTTATATTTTATGAGATACTTGATAGTTTAATAGAATGTGGGGTTTTTTCCATTTTATCTGAGGAATTCAGCCTTAACACATGTTCTGATATATCTGATTAAAATGGATAGGGGAAGCAATCTCACTTTTTTGAGGGAGTTACAAGCAGAGCTGGGAATAGAATCCAGATGTGAGTGTGGTCTGCTGTCAGTGGCGTATGCTTTAGTAGCTCTCAATGGCCAAGTCATTGCTGTGTGAGCTAGATGCATCAGAAAAAAGTGGAAAGTAAGAAAAAAGAAAAAAGTAAGAGCTGGAGAGAATGGAGTCTGCCCCTGGAGCTCCCCTTTGGGCAGGAAGAAATCAATGTGACATACATACCTTCTTAGTCATCTGTAAAGTGTAACTGCTGACAGTGCCTGAATCTCACCTTTAGTAACTTCAGCTCTGTAACTACCCCATGCTCTGGTGCACAGACCTGCTTTAGTGACGCTACAGTAATCCATATTGCACAGGGCTCTGCTTTCTACCCGTATGTCAGAGTACTTGTTTTCTGTGTACTCACATGAGTGAGGCTGAATTTGTCTCAGACAAAGGCCTCTCAAGATTTTTGGTCCTCTGCTCATGTCTTGCGAAGGAAACTGTCCCGTCTTCCTACTCTTACCTCACTGAAGGTCCCCCCTCCCAAACTGTTGCCGATATTAAAGATTATGAAGATCAACTGTCCCTCGTTTGTAATAACTCCACCAAAAAAAAAAAAAGAAAAAATTAATTTGTTGCCCTTTATTTTGGGGAACAGTTGACATAGGCTAATAAGCTGTATTTGACAAGCAGCCATAAATAGCTAGCAAATGTTGATCACTTATGGTAGGGTGTTCAGCTTGGGAGGTTCTATATAAAGGTATAAAAATGAAAAATCCCCACATGTATTCTGATTAGCTAAAAGTAAGAGATAAGTTAGGAATTTAGATACTTTTGGAGTTAATTTTAAACATTTAAATGTTTGCTGCTGCCCATTTAAACATTTACTTGGTGTTGAAAGCAAGGCAGCATGAATATGATGCCCCCACCTTTCCCTTTTTTGGTCTCTCTTTTGTCTGTTACTTTGCTTTTGTTTTGGTTAGCTACCTACTTATTTGTTTGTCACCTAGACTGGCCATAATTACTCTGAAAATGGCGAACATAAGGATAAGACTAACCCACCCAAACCACTGTCATCCAGCAATGGGGGGACGTGTTATGCAAATGCAGCCGTCATAGAGAGCAATGGAAATCTTGGCTTTGACAGCATCAGTGTGGTCTCAGCACAGGTATGAAAATTGTGTCTATTTACTTATTTTATCCCTGCCAATTACATAAGCGTATCTGAGGGGAGAGTTAATATGAATTTTTATTGCTTTTGTCAAGTTTTTGTAAACTTACAGCTTATAACTTGCTTGAGCCCTACAAAAAAATGTGGGTTTTGGGGGCAAGCTTACAAAAGGTGAATGATCCATTCAATTTGTAGCCAACAAAAAGAGCTAATTGATACCAGTGTTGGGATGGGTAGGACAGAGGTATATATTTAATCAGATAATTCAGTTAATTTTGATTTTGTTGTTGTTATTGTTTTGCTTAAAGACTGATAGTGTGTTTTAGTGTTCCTTGATCTATATTGTGTTCCTGACTATGTAAAGCCATGTGTGAGAACCTGATTCTTCTGTGTCGATCATTGATGAGGAAAACTAATACAGTAATTTTTGTGCAGTATCTTGTGAGCACTGCTTGTGCTAGTCCAGTATATTTGGATACTGTGGGAATTATGGAGCCAGTAGGTTGAGACAGAAGCATTCCTCCTGGTTTAAGTACTATTCTCTTTTAAGATTTGTTCTCTGTATTTTTCTGTGTTTGTTTTCATACTACAAATACGACTTCTTTCTGTTTGAGCAGAAAATGGAAGTAGGAAGAGAAAATTGATGTGCTGCTTTACTCCTTTCCCTGTACAGGGAGGAGCGGTACTGTCCCTTATTTTAAAAAAGTAAAAACACACAGAAACAATTCTCTGATGGTGAAAGCAGATTTTTTTCATTGTAGAGATTTCTGTTTTACCACCCCTGTTCTTTAGCCAGTAAGTTGTTTGTGGGGAGCAGTGAGGAGCAGGAGAGGAAGCCAGAGGCAGGCCCTAACAGCCAGGGGAGAATCTGAGAGTTCTGCGTTGATCCTGCAGGCTCACAGGGCATTTGATGCACACAGTTTAAAGTACCAAAGTTGTACATGTCCTTACCGTAGAAATGTCACGAAGCGTGGTGGATACTGGCCATTTTAAAAACTAGGAGAAACATGTGTAATAATTAAAATTGCATGGGCACCAAGAAGGAATTAATATTATGAGTGTCCCTAAACTGTATTTTGTAGATTTATGAAACAAACACAAGAACCCTCTACTGTCTGCGGAGACAGTCATAGTCATCTCCAGTGGTATGGGTGTTGTTTTTCTGCCCTGTTTACCAGAAGTTTTATCTGGACATATTCCATTATCACATTTTGGCTAGCCATCTGCCTACGCATAACATAAATGTAACAACATCATACTGTATATTATAATAATAAAATGTAACTATATAGCATTATTTCTAGCAACTAGTTTAGCTGCAGTGCTTGTGATCATGAAGTATTGTAGGTCACCCCAAGGTCCTTTGTGGAATACTCATACATCTCCTTTTACATGTGGTCTTGACTTTAAGAACTTAAAATTTTGCAGAGGTTCTTCTCCTCTACTTATTGCTCTTATGAAAATTCATGCTTTCAATTCTTTCTTTCTCCCCATTTCTCCAAAGCCAGGAAGAGAATATGTTGTATTAAAACCTCTTGAAAGTAACAGGGTAAAATTCACTCTGGAGCCAAGGCTGGCTGCAAGGAAATCCCAGTGGCAGATAGCCCGCTGCTGATATTGAAGTAGCAACAAAAAAGGCATCATTACGCTTTTCTTCCTCCAGGCAGGTTCAAAGGGGCCAGGTAGCCTGCAGAGTCATTAGGGGGCAGGGGAGGGCCAATGTGGCTGAGGGGGTTTGGGGCAGCTAGGGTAGTGCCCTGAGGGTAGGTATGCATTCACCTTTACAGGCATTTGGTATTTATGAAGGAAACATTTGGCATTGTGTTCAGAACAGCAAAAATACCAAGGATGTCTTTGGTTTACCATAAATTGTGGAGATACAAATACTACAGAACTGCACTAATAATTAATAAAAGTCAGACCTGATAGTCCAGCTGGGTATTACAGAGCTCCTTAGCTGGCATCTCTTCTGTGACATCTGCTAAACTACCATGACAAAGTGGGAACAGTCCAGCAGAGACAGACATTGTTCATTTTTGCCTTGGAATCCTATGTATTTGTAGGATAAATTTGTCAGTACTCTGCCTTATCTTAAACATTAAGAATATGTATTAGTTGTTCATCTACTTCTATCGGACACACAATCTGGTAAAGTTCAGAATGTAAACCCAGACAAGCAATGTCATTGTACTTTATATAAGTTACAGAAGACGTCAAGACGTTATCTAAAATAGATTACAGGCAAGATTTATGATACTTCAAAGCTACACGGTAAACAAGAGGTAGCCATATAGATCTATATTACAGAAGCCTTTCAGAAACCGAAACCTAGTTTTTAAACTACAATTGTTTCTGCATTTTGAAAGATTGGATCAAGAAAGTAATTTTTATAAGTAAATTAATACTGTTCTCCTAAGTTAATTGCAATTACTTAAAAAAAAAAAAGTACATAGATAGAACAACCCAAACCTCAGCACATTTCCAGAATCAGTTCCGTTCTTGGTGAGTTCAACAGCTAATTCTTAATAGCATCTTCTTACTCAATGTTCATTTTCTTCATACACGCATAGAAAGTTCAGCACGTGTATTTGTACATTATTTATTTCAACAAAAAAGCCCTTCAGATCAGATTTTTATGTTTGTCATACATATGTAATGCTTTGGATTGTCATTGGAATTCTTGGCCGTGCAACTGGTACCAGAAAATGGGTCCTTAGTTCTATGGCTAAGCCACTTATGCCCTTACAGCCCTCAGAAAACTGTAGGCACACACATGGTTCCCACGTAAAAACAAATGTGCTTTGATGGGAAGAAACATAAACAAGTATGTAGAAGTGACATTTTTGCACATTTGTATTATTTGCTCGCTGTTTTCATTGCTTTTTTAGGAATTTTCATCCAAATAAACTCTTTTCATAAAACCATTTATTTATGAAGATGCTTGGCATTTGATGTGAGAATTTTTTGGTAATAGAAAGTTTTTTACAGAACAAAACCCACCACCACCTCTCTTTCTCATGTATAATGGAAGTTGCTAATATACCTTTTCAAAATACAGTCTCCTGAGATTAATATTGTTGCTTTATCAGAAAATACTTGCTGCTGTTGTTAGGGTTTTTGTGTGTGTGTGGTTTCCAAAAGACCAATGTTCTCTTTTAGCAGAAAGTTGAATGAATTATTCAAAGTGAAAACCTGTGCATTGTCTCGAACTCCCTTTCCTCAGTGAAGCTAAAAACATGCCCAAGAAAGATGATGTGCTTTTGGCAGAAATCAGGACAATCTACAAAACAAGCCTCCATCGGTTCTTAGGCAGCTTGAAGGATGGTCACTAGGGAACAGAAAAAACAGGGGAACAGAACTTCAGCTCAGGGAGCTGGATGAATAGGTGGAAGAGCTTCACTGATTGTATTTGGATTTTCTCATACTCATGTTTCTTTTTACTTCCAGTTACCTAATATATGTATTTTATGTGGCTTGCTTTGTAATATTTCTTTCTTAAAGCGAAGTTCAAGTTGCCTTTGTGGATTGAGAGAGAGGTCTATTACTCATAAGTGATCCTATCTCAAACAGAATTAGTACAGGTACAAATTAATCATCCCAAAAATATGATTGGCATTGCTTGTGTGTTAGATGAAGTGTTGAGAGGAAAACCTCCCAAAACTGAATGCACGCATGTAGCACAAGTCTAAAACCTATGTGTTTGAGTCTGCAGGGAAACTCCCAATTCTTCGATACCATTGCTCATTTTCACATCACAAAAGTATAATTTCAGGACTTCCTATGCACTGAGTAGGAGCTGTAAGTGTGCTTTGTGGCAGTTGTGGCACTACTCGACCAAGGCTTTATTAGCTGCGAGTTCCAAGTAGTGCAGTAGGCATCTGACTCAGAAATCGCTGACCTGAACTTTAGTCCTGTCCCAGGGCAGCTCCTGCATACGAGGATGTAGTATGTCAGATAAGAGTCTGTCGAGCAAATCGTGAGACAGACCTTACTGCTCTGTCATTAAAGATTTTGTAAGAATTTATTAGTCATTATATTACCATGAAGTTCAAAATTCAGTTGCCTGGTAGCGTTTGCATTTGATATGGCAAAACTAAAACAATTTGCAATGTTCTTTTTAATAACTAAGGAAAATTTCTTGGAATAATCTGTGACCTTTTCATAAGGAGAAAGAGGTGTTCCTCTATGCCCTTCTACAAGAGAAGGATAGGTGTATAAATGTGTCTGTGGGCACACAGATGTATATATTACTGCTTATGTATTCCAGTAAGTAAGCACTAGTTAATGCCTTACATGCAAATCCTGGTTTTTTTTAGGGGGGAAATAATATAATGCTTGCAAATATTATGTAACTACAATATACGTGTGTGCAGGAATTTATCAGAATGGATCATCAGGTATTTTTTTAGGGGAGCTCCCAGCTAAAATGGCAGTTCCTTTTATCTGCTTCAGGTTTTTCATTATTTCATGGCACCACATGTATAAATTACTTCCGCTTCTGGGAGGAATTATTGAGATCCCTGGTGTGTATGTGCATTGCAGTTTTATATTAGCCTGTTGTTTTCATGCTCTAAGCCTTCGACACACAGAGTCAGAATTACCCACTGCTGTTTTTATTAAACGTGCACTTTGTAGAAACTAATTTGAATAGCTGGACTTGACTGTCATTTCCCAGAATTAGAAATAAATTTTATGGAGTATCTGGATGTTTGTCTATATTCACATGTACCTGGCTGTTACTGTGGCAGCTAAGTGTGTCTCTGAGAGCATGATGTACTGGCAGCATGTAACTGGTCCAGATGTGGTTTAGGTAGGAAATACAGATGCTGTCAGTCACTGTGATCAGATCCTTCTCACTGTACATGCTTAATAGAGGTGGCTGAGGAGGCTGTGAGGAGTTTCGGCACTCTCTTGATTTGACAGAGACTCCAGAGAGTCATTCAGACCATTATGGTCTGAACTGCTTTCTATCTCAGCTGAAGGGCATTCGGATAAAGCTTTGTAGTCAGAAGGGTGATTGGGCCCTGCATGTTAACTTGTTGAAACAGAAACCATTTGGTGCTGCTACCTGTGTTTTTTGCTTCTTGGCCCAAGCATTTTGGTCTCCATATGCAGTAGTGCTTTATTTTATACTTGGCATTCATTTAAAGGCAGAAGTGTGATTGATTGGCTTCTTTATTCAGTGTTTTATGTAATTGCTTTATTGTGTTATTTTTTTCCAGGAAGAAGCCACCCAAAGCAACTTGTGCAAGTGTCTTAACGGGCCTCCGCTGTCAAAGATTGGGACCATTGCTTGGATGGTAACACTGAGTGATGCCGTACATAATTTCATAGATGGTTTGGCTATTGGTGCTTCTTTCACTTTGTCTCTGCTTCAAGGGCTTAGTACCTCCATAGCCATCTTGTGTGAAGAGTTTCCTCATGAACTGGGTAAGGAACTTCATTCATCATGTTGTTTACTGTGGAAATCACTGTTGTAGCAGGTTGTGCTGGCCAAAAGTTGGCATAGATTGAATGAAAGTTTAGACAAATTAATGGAAAAAATATTCATCAAAAACTTCCCAACCACCAAAATACACATCTAGCACAGGAAGTTCCCAAACACAGGTGGGTGGAAGCTGGGAATGTATACTAGAGAGATATTAATTGCCCTGTTCATATATGCTGCATACAGTGTTGTATTAATTTTCTTTTTTTTTTTTTTTTTAAATCATGAATAGTTCTGTGTTCCTGTGCTCTTAGCTCAATTGTGCATCACCTACTTGCTTTAGAGTATTTCAGTTACCTTAGTATTGAAGGGAAGTCCTCATCATTTACTTGAATGAAGAAAAACAGCAGGGGGTTATAATTTGTATACAAATCATGTCTTGTCTTCAGACTTATTAGAAAATAATCACAGTATCATTTTCTGAAGATGGTTGTCTTTATTTTTGCTTCTTTTTTTTTAACTTTTCTTTTAGGGGATTTTGTCATCTTGCTTAATGCAGGAATGAGTACTCGTCAAGCTCTGTTTTTCAACTTTCTGTCTGCATGTTCCTGTTACATTGGGATGGCTTTTGGTATATTACTAGGCAACAACTTTGCTCCTAATATCATCTTTGCCGTAGCTGGTGGAATGTTCCTGTACATATCTCTGGCAGACATGGTGAGATATAATTTAATTTTCAGTTATTTATTTTTCTACAAGAAAACAAAGAAGGCACTAAGTCTCTCCAGTGGAATTTAGTATTTTGTCCCTCTCGTGCCAGTGTCATCTACTTACTATTATTATTACTAGATGTTAAATCATCAATTATACCCTTAATGGAGGTGCACAAATAGTTATGCTTATTCATGAAACATGAAAGCCTTTCACTTCACAAATAGGGCTGATCAGATTATTGCTGAAAAGGAGTTTTAGAGACAAGCTTTTCATGAATTTGGGCTGGTTTCATCAAAGAGTAAAAAGTGTATAAATAATTTGTTTCAGCATTTTAAAGTGGCAAAGTATTTCACCTTACTATTTTTTAAAAGGTTCATTTGTCTATTTAAACTGTATTTTGGAAGAAAAGGAAAAAAAAAAGGTAAACAAAATGAAACTAGATATTTAGTTTTGAGTTGAATGAAAGGTGTTGCATAACCACAGTGATAATTTTGGGGTTGTTTAGGTGAAAAACCTGATTAAATTCTATTCTGATTTAAATTAAACAGTGCCAGTCCCAGTTTCTTGGTTCAGACTAAAAAATTTGCTGAACTCTACTCAAAACAGTCTGTCTATCATTTATTTTTTAAAGTGTGCTAGAAGATATAAGCCAAAGAAATTGTGCTAAGATCCAGATCAGATTTAGACATTGGGAAATAAAATCTGGATTCACAGGCAGTCAGCAATATTCCATAATTTACTCTTACGATGATGTTTTATCTCAAAATGAGAGAGATCTTTCAAGAATTTTAAGTTTTATTTTGTTTAATTCAGTGTTGTAAGAACAGATGTATCTACAAAAGTGTTTACACCTGTCACATGAGAATCCATTTGAGTGTAGAACTGGAAGAGTGAGGCCTGAATTTGAAAAGATTTGAGACCCCAGTTTGGTTCTGTATGTACTTAAGAACTGTCATATAGTTACAGTGACTGTTTCATTAAATACTATTATAGTCTAGGTAATAACATAGGATTTAATAAGTAATAATATTAGAGTTAAATGAACAATATGAATAGTTTATTTTACAAGTTTGCAGTACCTTAATTGCTAATGCTTTTCATTTAGTTTCACTCACATAATGAATAGTAGTGTACTCAACTATGATGTGTAAAACTCATGGCATAAATTTAGAGTGGCTCAACTTAAATTTGTTATTAAATCCATTAAAGTCGGTAACATTCTTTTCTTTTATCTGTTGTTCTGTTCTCTCCGTTTCTCTGTCTCTCTGCCTCTCCCTTCCCCCCCAGTCTCTCTCTCTTTTTATAGGTTTTTGGATTGTATCAGTTACCTATCTGAATTTTTCTTCCCCTTGAAAAGTCTGAAATAGGGTATTCAGGCGCTCTGTACGGAGATCTGGCTTTCCGCTTTCTCTTACGATTTTCACACACTTCTGGTTTGCTTGTCCAGAAGCAGGTAGGATTAACTAGAATGTCATTCCTTCCTTCTTTGCTTTTTCCTGTTCTTTTTTCCTCCAGTATTGGCATAGTCCAACCTCTGCCAGTATGATCACTGTGTGGTGAGGCTGTGGGCTCGTGAGAATGTGTACGCTGAGGTGTGTGCACAAATGAGCCTTCCTGTATGGCACGAAGCTGATCTGGTTTGTTGTCTTTGTCTCTTGTGCAAGAGGATTACAGAGCTCTGGAATGATTTCTGGGAAGGTTTGGCCACTTCCCACCTTAGTCTGTTCTTCAAGAATTGCAATACCTTCAATGGCTGTTTTTGCCTTGTGAGATCAAAGAGATACAGCTTCTGAGTCATCCAGCCTGAAGGTTTCTAAACTTACACTGAAATACACAGTCTTCATTGCATTCTGGCTATACTACTCTAGCACAACAGGAGAAGAGTTTAAAGCTTATTTGAATATGTTTGTCAAAATCCACTGCAGTTGACTTTTTCTGCAGCAAACACATACCCTGAATCGCCCCATACAGGGGACTTATTGCCAGTGCTCATTTGCCATCACCTCCATTGGCTCTCAGAGGAAGTGTCTTTGTTTCTGCAGTTAACAGCAGATCAGTCATCCTTTGCTGTTACGTTGCCATTGAGATATGTGTTAAGGAATGAAGAATCCCTTCATTGCACTGTAATGTAATATTGCATATGTTACCACCAGTTTCACAACATTCTTCTTCTTTCTTCCTTGCTTTACCACTACCTCATCAGCCCACCAGACTTTCTATTTGTAACAGGTTTCTTATTTCTGAGGCGTTGTCTACGTTTTCAGCTTCACTTCATTTGCTTATAGATAAAGCAGAAGAATCCTAATCATCCATTTCCCAAACAAGGATTTCTCTGTTTATACTAGTGAAGGAAGAAACACAACATTTAGCAATACAAGGGCAGCTGCTCCTAGCAACATATGGACTAACAATTAGGCCCTAGGAGACTGCAGCAATCAAAAAGAGCAAATTTGCATGAGAGACAACCAGGTGAAATCACAGTAGAGAGGAGCAAAACACCATCTCATTTTACCATCCTTGGTGAAGTGGTTTTTCAGAGTAATGAGGTTGCCCTGTTCCTGTGACTGCCTTCACCCTGTTAGTGCTAATATTCAGTCCAAAGTAGCAACATGGTTCAGTTCTTAACTGAAGTTATAAGTTATGCACGCTACCACAAGATGGCAATACTTACCTAAAAATACCCCTTTTTTTCAGTTCCCAGAGATGAATGATATGATGCAAGAGAAAGTGACAGGAAGAAAGATGGATCTCACATTCTTCCTTATTCAGAATGCTGGTTTACTAACGGGGTTTACTGCTATACTGTTGATTACCTTGTATGCAGGAAATATTCAGCTGTGATAATGCAAGTGAAAATGGAATCAGTACTGAAGACATGAAGTAAATTACAAATGGAAGACACTTGAAATCCATAAAGGGACATTCATTTAATCTACTTGGTTTTAAAACGGTGACAAGTCCTGTCCTGTCCCCCTTGCTCCAAATACAGGGGATTCTTCTGTAGGACTGCAGTCAGTCCAAATAGCAGGAGCTGTCAACTTCTGTACTATGCCAAAGAACCGATTCTAATATTTTTATTTCTACTTAAAATTATCAGAAATATCTGAACTGTCATAGAGAAAGGATGTTACTTGGCCAGTAGAATTATGCAATACATGCAACTACATGCAACTCAAGACCAAATGAAAGCTGAGGTCTTCAAGGAAGATGCTTATTTAAAAGAAAATAATGGAGTCTCATATCCTTTCTTAACTGTGATGAAGGCAAGCAGTTTCAAAGCTAGTTAATTTTCATTACTTTTGTTGCAGAATTTGTCTGTGTAACATCCCCTTCTCCCACCAAAAAAAAGAAAAAAATCAAACTATTTCAGAGTAGGTTCTAATGAAGCTAAGATTTTTAATTACTAATTAACACTGGAATGAAAGATACCAGTTACTGCTTTTGATCTTTTCTCCTTATAAGTGCACTAGGGAATTGTTGTTTTATTTTGAGAACCACTTTTTTTAATTAGAGGGAACCTGTGTTAAATTTATGAAAATTTATCAACTCCATAATATTTTAGAAACATTAAGTATTTTTACAATGTTCAAGCATTTTGTATTTTATGAAAATAATCATGTTTTATATTTAAGTTCCACAAATATGCCTTTTAAAAATCAGTATTTTTGGGTTAAAATTTTTAAAGATTTATTGTTAGTTGTACAAAGTGGAATTTAGAAAAAACATTTGCTAAAATCAACATTCCAGTAAGCTTTTTTGTAATTTGAGTAATTTTCTTGTGTGCAGTTGGGTGAAAGTAAGTGATACTAAAAAATACAAACAATATCACAATCTGTTGCATGTGAACTTTCTAAAATCATGCTTATATGTATGAGTTCTTCTGAAATAAACAATTCAGCTTCTCTGGTGTTGTAAGATGTGTGGCAAAGAAATTAATAAAAAAAAAAAAATTCCATTTCAGTCACCGCTAAGCTTTGAAGGAAGTGTTGTTATTCTCTAGTAAGTTATGTTTTTTCATTGATTTTTAGGCAAGTTTTTCAACTTCAAAGAAGATACTGTTTCTTGTCATATTTCCTGGCAGTAGGAAGAGACAAATCTTTTATTTTTCATTCAGTATTAAAATATATTTTCTATCAGGTAAAGGATGTATTTTAATATTTTATTTGAATCTCATCTGTAATTACATTAGAAAAAGTAACTTCTCTAGGTGTCTGGTTGATAAAAACTTTAAGGCAAACTGCACAGGAGTTGTAAATTATACTTATTTTAAAATATGTTATAAATGTTAAAATGTAGTTATAGTAGTCTCTGATATTTGATGTATGGAAAAAGCATTTATTAATCACTGTATGCCCTCTAAGTTTCTGTGAAGAAAAGTCCACCCACTCCATGCTCTTTCCTTTAATTCTTTCTTTTGTTGATTCCTTGGATATAAGCTGTTTGTAAATGCTACTCTTGTGTATGACAAGAATGTATTATAGTAACTATGAATGTTCATTGACTTTTTAAAATAATTTGACCATTCCCGGTTCATCAGATTAGTATAATAATACACCTGCATGGTACTTTTCACCTTTAAATCCAAATATTTGCAAGGGAGACTTGATTTTTGTTATCTCCCTAAAGAGGAAAAACTGAGGCAAACAAGTCATTGAAATGACCTGCTTTTAGATCACAGAACAGACTAGAGATGGAACAAAGTCTGATTTTTAGGGTAGTGCTTTAGTCACAAACCAAACTGCCTTTTCTGCTGGTGGCATATATAGTAGGTAAGAAAACTTTTTGATTTCTGTATGAGTTGGTTTGTCTGTATAATCTTTGCTATTATGTTTGTCCAGTACATATAAAATAAATCTATTGCAATTCTAGGACTGCCAGTGATTTCCTAGATTTTGCTGATACATCCAGGGAGGAAGAAGCATGAGCAAACACTCAAAAAATTGTTTTTTGTGACAGACTGCAGTAAGTTACTCCCTAAAGTTTGGAAATTAGTTGAGGGAAAGATTTTCATATTCTTTTTCACGTTAATGTCATCTGTAACTGTTCATCTTATATTCTGCCATCTCTTCAGCCTTCTTTTCAACAATTGTGCAAATTCTGTGTATACTGTGATTTCAGAGGGCTCTTATGTATTTGTTACTTGTTATTTCCTTAGGGCATATTATCTGACATCTAAGGTTAGACATTATCTGACATACTGTCGTAGATAGTATACTGTCGTAAATAGAATACTGTCGTAAATAGATCACTGTCATAATGTTTCCTCTTTTTCATGATGTGGTTCATGACCCAAGACACACTTCAGTAAATTTCACTAGGGGTGGGGGAAAAAACCCACCAGCACAAAACCCCTACACCTATAAAAGACACTAAAGAAGGAAGAACAATTGATTTTGTGATCCAAAAGCATATAAAGAGCAACAATGTGGATAAAGATAAACCCTAGAGTTCTTCTGATCCCTTGAAGAAGGGATATGCAGAAAAGTGAAACAGTCTATGGGGGAGACCTGGCAAAAAGGTGATACATAATTACTGTCTATGATTTCAGGAGAAATGAATTGAAAAATTGGTACTTAAAGTTTAGGGTTATTGCTTCTGACATTTCGATGAGTTCTTTACTGAATAAGGATTTAAAGCATCAAACTAAAAATTTGATCTCAACTATAGTCTTCGCTGGGTAAAAAACTGGTTGGGTGGCCAAGTCC